TGTTAGCTGCAACCTTTCTGAATCACTTTGCTCTAGATAGATCTCTTATATACAGCAAATACCTAGACTTTGCTTTGTGAGATAACATGCAAATCCTCTTCTTTAAATAGTTGCATTAAGCCTATTTAAATATATCGCGATGACAGATATGGTGGTTCTTAGTTCTGTTGTATCATATTTTCTATGTTTGTATATAAATATTTCAAATGTCTTTCAGTATATTTTATTAGCTTTTTACTTAAAAAATATTTTTCTGGGGGCGCCTGTGTGGCTCAGTCGGTTGAGCGTCTGACTTTGGCTCAGTTCATGATTTCACGGTTCCTGGGTTCGAGCCCTGCGTCCGGCTCTGTGCTGACAGCTCAGAGCCTGGAGCCTGCTTCAGATTCTGTGTCGTCCTCTCTCTCTCTGCCCCTCCCCTGTTCATACTCTGTCAATCCCTCTCTCAAAAAATAAACAAACATTAAAAAAATATTTTTCTGGTAATTAGATAAGTTGCAGGGTTTTTTAATGTTTATTTTTGAGATGAGAGACAGAGACTGTGAGTGGGGGAGAGGCAGAAACAGAGGGAGACAGAATCCGAAGCACAGAGCCAGATGCGGGCTTGAATCCATGAGTCCTGAGATCATGACCTGAGCTGAAACCAAGAGTTGGACGCTTAACCAACTGAGCCACCCAGGTGTCAGGTGCCCTGATAAGTTGCATTTTTTATCTATGGTTTACTTTTTTAAATTATACCTTTATATAATATTCTGTTTCCTTTTTACTTTAGACAGTGTTAGTTCTTACAATCTGCTTCAATAAAATTAGCTTGTATCTTCCTCTTCCCTTCTCTCTTTTTCTGTCTCCTCCCATCCAATTTAATTAGTAGCATATCTTTTATCTGGTTTTTGGCATTCACCTCTGTATTGCTAAATATGTTTACGTATTTGTATTTGATCTTTTAACTCCCCTGTATCATAACTGAGGCAACTGTATGTTATTTCTACTTTCTGCCTTCTACCATTGTATTGATTGTATCATTTTTGCTTTGGCAGAATATTGACTTCCTCCTCTTGCACTTGTATCTGTACCTTTGTTTTTTCTTAGATGTACAGTTAAATAAATTTACTGCTGCCTAATGTCCTTTGCCAAACCTCCATTCATCTCTTGATTGGCTGGAGCCCATCCTCTAATAGTTTTTTCAAGAAAGATCCATTTGAGTAGTATTTCCTGGATGCATTCTTGTTTAAAATGGTTTGTCTGTAGCCTTTATACATGAAGGGATAGCCTCGATGAATATAAAAGTTTCTTAGCTCACACTCCTTTCTTTAAGTATTTTGTAGATGTGACTCCATTGACTTCAGGCATTGAATGTGGCTGCCAAGAAGTATGTTACAATCCTGATTTTCTTTATTTTTTGTTTAAATATTCAAAGAATTCTCTTTATCTTTAAAACACAATTTTATAAGGTTATGTCTTGGTATTTTACTAGGACAACTTCCTTTTATGCAGTGTGCCCTTTCAATATGTAGAATCAAATCTTTGTATGAGAAGTTTGCTTTTTTTTATTTACTTTTTAAATTATTTTTTTCTTTTCCATTATTTTAGATTTCTTATTTTAAGCTACAATTATTTGTATGTTTTATGTCTTTCACCTACATTCTATATCTGCCATTTCTCTGTTAGCTTTTGTTTCTTTACTTTTTCCACTTATTTTCCATTTTTATGGTCCTTACTATGCTATCTGTGGTCTGTTTTTTCTTTGCGCCCTTAAATTTAACTTCATTTTGGAAATGACTTTGCCTCTTTTTTGCTTTTTCCCCTGAGTTTAGTCATTTCCTGTTTCATATATTCCTATAAGCCCATGCATCTCTGACTTGTAGTTTCCCTTTATTAATGTGATACTTTCATGCTAAATTAAAGCAGCACACTCTGAGAGCCAAAATGCATATGTTAAGTTTAACTTGAGATCTGGCCTCATTTGATGTTACTCTTAAGAATACATCAAATGAGTTAGAAGTTTAAATCACAAACATTTCATCAGTAAACTGTACTAGAGATTTTGGTACTTACCACAAAACCTGTGCTTATTATTAATCCAGTAACCTAATGTATTGTGATATGCACAAAGTAAGGCATAGCCTAAAGGAAAAAATTTAACAGGCAACTTCCTTATTCCCTGTAGTCTTTGGATTGAGGTCTTCTTTCATACAGTTATACTATTCTGCTGCTTGGAGGAAATATTTCTGGAAAAAGGAACAGAGTAAGCAAATAGAGATATGACAACAAGAACATACTTTGAAGATCTCATGTTGGCTACAGGAGAACAATGAGTATTTCTAGCTGTGTGGATTGCAATCTGAAAGCAGCATTCTGTGCATCAAGATTTAGAGGAGAATAGAAATTGGATAGTCACCTAGCTTCTGTCATACTTAGACATTTGGCCTTGAAGCTTAGGATAGAAATTACAACTAGATTTAAGATTTTTCACATAGGGATGGTCTTGACCTTCAAAAGAGGATATAAATTAAGAGAAGAAAAGAGGGGCACCTGGTGGTTCAGTCAGTTGGGCGTCTGACTTCAGCTCAGGTGATGATCTCACAGTTCGTGATTTTGAGCCCCACTTCAGGCTCTGTGATGATATCTTGGAGCCTGGAGCCTGCTTCAGATTCTGTGTCTCCTTCAGATTCTGTGTCTCCTTCTCCCTCTGCCTCTCCCCTACTCATGCTCTGTCTCTGTCTCAAAAATAAATAAACATTAACAAAATTTTTTAAAGAGAAGAAAAGAAAGAAAAAATAGGGGAACCTATGTGTTTTAAGGGCAAAAAAGGGCAAAGCAGCAAGAAAAGGGTACATGAAGTATTCAGAGGCATAGGATAAAAGGGACTGTTAAATGTCCCTGTTCTAGTGAGGCTTTCTGCTGTTCCCCCATGGGCCTGATAGCCTGCTGTGTTTAGATGGACCTAGTGACACCTGAATGAGAATTTCACATGGTGCAGGTAAGTGCATGGGGGTAAGGACCCAGCAGCTGAAAACATTGGCAAATTGGAGACAGAGAGTGAGGGATGCAGAAGAAGAGGACAAGTCCTTTTCCGGAGGGTCATGATGAATGGGCAAGGTAGGGTGGAGGTGTGAAAGTTAGTCCATAACCAGGAGCTGTGATGCCCTAAACAAGACCAGCTTCAAGGAAACTATAGCCCCAAAAGTGTGGGTTTTAATCAAGACAGGCCTGTATCTCCTTCTTCACCTCCTCTCTCCTTGACCCTCTTCCTCCACACAAGCTTGATCCTCCCTTGGGCATGTGGCCCCCTCAGCCGTGCCTTAGAGCAGAGTGCCCACTCAGGTCATCACCCCCACTTAGGCATGATTTCCCTAAGGGCAAGAGTCTTATCTTTGCTTTCTTGGAACATTAATGCCCATTGGATCATCACTAACACTTATGCTTGAAAATGCCGGTTTAGATCATGTGGGTTATATTTGTACACTGTGATGTTTAGTCCTATGTGAGTGTGAAAGTGTGTTATGACATTTATGCTTCAATTTAGTTTCCCAAAACCAGCCCTGTCATGGCCACCACCCCAGCCCCACAGCCACGACCACCACCCTCCACTTCTATTACTAATGATAACCAGGCTGCATTACACCAATGCCCCAGCTATTTATTATCACTTACAAAACCACCCACTCCCGCTGTTTTTTCTGTTGGGTGACCCAGATAATTTAGTTTGCTTTTCTTATCCACTAAGATAGTACAAAGATACAACTATTGTGTCTCTGTTAGCTAACTATGGAGGAAAAAAATGTGATTACATTACAAGTGGCCATATAACTTACATATGATGATTGATGGTATCAAGACTACTTCTAGTCTTCACTAGAAGAGGTAAAAAAGATGTCCTGATATTATTTCGTATATTTAAAGCCTCATTATATTGTATATACAACATAATTTAGCATGTAATTGGGTCAATATGGCTTATACCTGCAATTTGAAGTTATCCAGAAGAGGATAAGATTTTATTTTCTCTTTAACATGAAAGCTAGGCTTTTAGTTCTTTGTCTTTAAAAAGCTCATGATGCCAGAAGACTCCATGCCTCCATTAGAAGTCCATTGCCTCAGACTCAGGAATTAGAGACCCACAGGGTTCCAGCTCCCAGAACAGCTCCCCCTAGCGTTGCGGAAAGTCCCCTTCAACACCACACCCATCTCTGTGCCCAGGAGCCCTGCTTGCAACTCTCCCAGGCCAGCACCCCAGTCGGGACTAGCATCTCACCCAGTTCAGGTTCAGAGCTCGGACGTCTGCCTGCTGCTAAGGCATTTACACAGAGAATTCCTCCAAAGCTTCTCCTTTACCCGTATTAAGCTTAAAAAGAAAAGTAAAACTCTAAGCAAAAGCCCAAAGAAAATTTGGGAATTCTTTTTATTGATTTTTTTGTTTGTTTGTTTTGCTTCTCTCAGAGAGTAAGCTCTACAACTTGATTTTCAAAGGGGTGGAGGGGGGCATGATAATTAGGAATGTAATGTTCTGAAGTGGGTGTGTGTGTGTGTGTGTGTGTGTGAATCTAAAGGCTGAGAGTAGATACAGTCACATATTGCATATGGACATCAGCCGCAGGTGCGAAATTCTGCTTTTAGAGATTATGCATCAAGCCATTTTACCCTTTTGAGAAACAAGAACGCTGGTGGAAAGTTCATTAGTCAAAGTGATAGTTAAAAATACTTCTCATGGGGCATCTGAGTGGTTCAGTCGGTTAAGTGTCCGACTTTAGCTCAGGTCATGATCTCACGGTTTGTGAGTTCAAGCCCTGCTTCGGGCTCTGTGCTGACAGCTCCGAGCCTGCAGCCACTTTGGATTCTGTATCTCCTTCTCTCTGCCCCCTTCCCCTTGTACTCTGTCTCTCTCTGTCTCTCAAAAATAAAGAACTGTAAAAAAAAAGTTTTGTTAAAGAATGCCTCTCGTACAGTTTTTTTCTACAGTGAGATCCTTCATATTGTAATTTCTTGTCATTTCTTGTCCACAGGCAAAAACTGGGACCTGACAGCCGCTCTGAGTGACTATGAGCAGCTCCGACAGGTGCACACAGCCAACCTGCCACATGTGTTCAACGAGGGCAGGTGTCCCAAGCAGCCAGAGCGAGAGCCACCGCAGCCCGGGCACAAGGTGGAACGGCCCTGCCTTCAGAGGCAGGACGACATCGCCCAAGGTACCTGGCAAGGAACTGAGCTCAGAAACAGCTTCTCCAGGGTTCCATGGCTTGCAGGGGGTAGTGGGGGGGTGGCAGTCAAAGAATAGCAAGGTCATCACCTCTCAGCTGCAGGCAAATCGGGCTCTTGGTTCATCAAGCTGAAATGTGCGTTGCTGCTTCCGGTTCCTGACTTCTCCCTCTGCCTCAGAAAAGCAGGAGAGGCAGTCCAGTCCCCTAGGAGCCCATGTGATTGAGGGCCATCATTCCTCCTGGAACCTGAGTCTCTCCAAGCCAAGCACCTCTAGTCCCTTCAGTTATTCCCTAAGTAGCATAGCCTCCAGATCTGTTCATCACCAGTGTTCAGTGTCCCAAGGGCTCCCTTTTCTGTGTCCTTTTTCTTTTTTTATGTATTTTTAAAAGTTTATTTATTATTTATTTTGAGAAAGAGAGAACACGTACACACACACACACACACACACACACACACACACACACATGCGCGCACATGGGGGAGGGGCAGAGAGAGAGAATCCCAAGCAGGCTCCATGCTGTCAGTGCAGAGCCCGACTCAGGGATCAAACTCACAAACTGTGAAATTATGACCTGAGCCAAAATCAGACACTTAACCAACTGAACCACCCAAGGCTCCCCTTTCTGTTCTTTTTCTTAAGAATCAGATGTGTTTACTGTAATGGAAGAAACAGTGGAAAGATATAAAGAAAACTTCAGAGTTTTGTTCTCCACCCATCTCAAATCTCACTGACATAATAACCAATGATGGCATCCTGGTCTGTCCTTTTGCTACACTCATTCAGAATGCATCAGAGTCGAATGCACATAATGCTTCTCAAATCACTTGTTTCACTGAACAATCATGAGTATAGTCTCAATATATTGTTCTGTACAGTCATTTCTAAACCACTCCTGTATTAATGGTTATCCTGGTTTTTCTTGGGTGTTTTGTTTCCAATACTCCTAGCAATGCTAAAACAAACAACTTTATACTCATGACCTTACATACTAGTGCTTTTATTTCTATGGGTCAGCATTCCCAAAGTGGATTTGCTGTGCCAACACCATGTGCAAAACTAGGTGTCTCCCTTCACTCTTGGCAGTCCTGGATGTTTTTGTGATGGTTTTACATTGCTTTTCTACTGTGAAGGGTAAAAAACAGGTGTCTCCTGTTTTAACTTTCATCTTGTCATTTGTTAGCCAGTTGGATTTTCCCTTCTGCAACATCCCTGTTCACATACTTTGCCCATTTTTCTATTTGTTTTCAGTTTTCTTATCAATTTGTAACATTATTTGTGATGAAGACGATAAACATATATTTTTATATACGTGTATGTCTTTCCCAGTGAATCATTTACTTTATGATTTTGTTTACAGAGTATTCTGCCAACAAAATGTTTGTATTACTATGCATTCATGGCTGATAGGTGTCCTCTCTTGCTGTAGAAGATCTACTGGAATACAAAGTTCCTATATTTGTTTGAAAAATTTGTTGTTAGGGGGCGCCTGGATGACTCAGTGGGTTAAACATCTGACTTTGGCCCAGGTCATGATCTCACAGTTGGTGAGTTTGAGCCCCACTTCAGGTGAACTAGAGCCCCACTTGGGGTGAGCCCCGCTTCTCTCTCTCTCTCTCCCTCTCCTTCTCTCTCTCTCTCTCTGTCTCACTCTCATGGGATTCTCCCCACACTTGTGCCCTCACTCACTTGTGCCCTTTCTCTCTCTAATAAAAATAAATAAATAAATAAATAAATAAATAAATAAATAATAAAATAAAATTTTGTTCTTAGGTCTTTTGATTGATTTGAATTTTTTGTAAGTAGTAAGGAAGAATCTAGTCTTGCTTTCTTCTGGATCAAGATTGACTTACCCTGGCACATTTATTGAATAAAGCATCCTTTTTCCACTGAACTAAAATGCCAACTTTGCCATATATTAAATTCCCAAATATACTTGGATGTGTTTCTGGACTGTGTCTGTCAGTTCGTGTGGTCACTCATCCTGTTACCTTGACTCTGGTAGTTTTATATAGTATAACTTCTGTTAAGGCAACTTTTTTACTGCTATTCTTTTCCAAAATTTTTCACTATTTTTGGATATTTATTCTGCCATATAAACCTTAAACTTAGAATTCTGGTTGGATTGGGTTGAATTTTTATTTTAAGAATAATTGGCATATTGTAATATCATTTTCCCGTCCAAGAACATTCAATATGCCTCCCCATTTAGTTAGATTCTAAGATTTTAGGCACAGAGAAAAGCAACTTATTTTTACATATTTATGTTTTATGCAGTAATTTACATAAATTCTCTTATTAAAACTAATCATTTTTTCTAAGACAATATCTTGAGGTTTCTAAATATATATATGATCATAATATCTGAAATAATTTAAATTCTTAACATTCATATGAAATGTAATTACATTAAATGAATTTCATTTCTTATCCTATTGTATTAGCTCAGCCCTCCCAAACTGTTGTGAATGAATGTTGTCTTTGTTTCTGTTAGCCCAGCCTTATTATTCAAGCTACATTGGAACCCATATCTTGGATTATTCTTTTATGCTTACTCTGTTGTCTGGAAAAGCCAGAATTGAGTTAGAAATGTTAATGCACATTATCCGTTTTTTTCTCTTAGTTTCATTCTTTCCACTGTATTTTGAGGCCATCTTGTTAGATGTATATGCACTCGTAATTGTTAGGGCATCTTGTTCCAGTGTTCTTTTGTTACCGACATATAAAGTGTCTCTCTGCGCCCTAGAATGTTTTTTATCTTTATATCTGTTTTAGTTGATATGAAATCTCTATCTTGCCTTTCTGTTGGCTCAGATTTGCCTGGAATATAATTTTGTCTGCTGTTATTTTGAATCATTCCTTATCATTTTATATTACATGTGATTCTTATAATTTGTCATCAGATATTATTTTATTATCTGATCCATGAGTCTCTGTCATTTGAACAGTGAATCTAATCCATTTACTTTATTGTAATTATTATCATGCATGTAGTTCTTTATGTTGTATGTGTTATTTGCCAGGCTTTTTTGGTGTGTTTTTCTCCTTTTCTATATCCTTTGGCTAATTAAATTTTTTTACTGATTTGAAAGTTATACTTTCTACCTCTACTTAGGTAATAGTTACCCCTAACCTATGCAAACCTATTTTTATGTTTTCTTTCTATCATTTTAAAAAATGTATTAACAACTAAATATTACCCTGAAGAAAACAGGGTACGTACCTTAGTATGAGTGTGTTTTGTCTTCTCCCTTCCTACCTCCACTTGTCCTCAATCACATTTAGGTTCATTTTGTTATCTACTTAGACAACCATTAACTTTATTTATTCACATTTATCTTTTGCAGGAAGAGTACTTTCTCAAAGACTACTTTCATAAAGAGTTTTTACGTAATTAGTCCTTAAGCATTGGGTTCCTAAAGGTGTTTACATGATATTCTTAAATTTTTGTTTAGTGGAACAAGAATTCTAGATCCAAATTATGTTCCTTGAGTGCTTTAAAACCATCCCTCCATTGTTTTCTTAAATCGCATTTTCACCTTTTCTAAGAGATTTCCTTGACCCAGTCTTCCAACTTCCTAATTCATTCTTTATTTGAATCCATTCTGCTAATCAGCATTCACACTTTTCATTCCAAATTAGCCCTTTGCCATTATTATTTTGCATCCTAATATTCTGTTTATCTCTTTGAACACATTTACTAGGCTTAGTTTAAAATCTTGCCCTCCAGTCTATTTACTTTGCTTCGTCTGGCACAGGTACATTGTAGACTTTCCGTAACACTCCTCAGGTGTGTCCTGAATTTTCCATGTGACTGCAGAGCACCTGTGGTTATCAGCCATTTCTGCTCATACTGTATATCAGGGAAAGGGACAAAGACATGGGCTCTGGCTTGTGCTCCTCTGGATGAGAGTGTGGGGGAAATGCACTTAAGTTGGAGATCTTTGAATGCTTTAATAGGGGCTGAAAATGTTCCCTGCTTGCTCCCTTCTCTGCAGTTAGCTCCACTCCATAGGGAACCTCCAGCACCTCTGTTCTAGCAATTGCTCATTTCCAGAAGCTGCAACCATGTGTTGTAACCATCAAGCTCACAGCATGTGTTGGAGAGGGGAGGGAAGGCTTAGGGCCTGGCCAGCCCACCTCTTATTGTTATTAGTGCCTCACCCCCAGCTGTGGTTCAGCACTGCCCTGATGTTCCTCCAGCTGCCATTGGCCAACAATGTTGCTTGCCCACCCGGTGGAGGAGGTGATGGTATGAGCAGTAACCTGCCCAGGACTGTGCCAGGGTGAGGAAAGGCATGGCCAGAATCCTGCCCCCCACCTGGAGCCTCTATCCATGAACCCTAGCCCACTCCCCTCTTCTGCTCCTGTAGATCTCCAAGGCAAGTTAGGAAAGGACACCAAGGCTCTGTCACTTCTTGTCTATCTGGTTATATTGTTGTTAAGTTCTCCTCCATTGCTGCCATTAGGTGTGACTCTGGAGAGACTACCACTTCTAATCATTCCCTGTAGTTTTCCCCCTCAGGGCCTTCCATGACTGTTCTTTCAGCACCGCACAGTTGAGGCTGCAGGGCTCTCTCACACAGTGACAATCCAGACAGATGACAACATGGCTGTTCCTACTCTTTTTGACTGGCAGCAAACCAACCATTCCATTATTTTATCCTCCCACTGAGGGGGCTAGAAGGACTCTCCTCTCTGCTTCCAGAGAGCTTGGTGGATTCAGAGCCTAATACATACCTGATACCTGCTGCTATGTAATTTTTATCACATATTACTTAAGGAATTAAAAAACATGTTTGTCATATAATTCTATGGAGTTTTGTGAACAATCCTATCTACTTTTTAAAAATTAGAGGGCACCTGGGTGGCTCAATCAGTTAGGCGTCTGACTTTGGCTCAGGTCATGATCTTGTGGTCTGTGAGTTCAAGTCCCACATTGGGCTCTGTGCTGACGGCTCAGAGCCTGGAGCCTGCTTCAGGTTCTCTGTCTCCCTCTTTCTCTGACCTTTCTCCGCTTGAATTCTGTCTCTCTCAAAAAAAAAGAAAACTAAGCATTAAAAAAATTTTTAATAAAAATTAAAAATTATAGTTTCTGAATTAGATATATGTATCCTTTAATTGAGTTCTTGAAATCATAGTGCACTAACATGGAAAATGAATATCTCCATGTTATAAATTAGGGGTTGGCAAACAATGGCCCATGAGCCAACTCTGGCTACTATTTTTCAAATAAGTTTTTGTTGGAACAGCCTCATGTCCATTCATTTATGCATTGGCTATGGCTGCTTTAGTGCTAGAGAGTTCAGTTGTGACCAAGACTGCATGACTTATGGAGCACCTGGGTGGCTCAGTCAGTTGAGTATATGATCAGCTCAGGTCATGATCTCATGGTTTGTGATTTCAAGCCCCACATCAGGCTCACTGGAGTCAGACTGTCAATGTGGAACCAGCTTCGGATCTTCTGTCCCCCTCTCTCTGCCCCTCCCCCACTTGTGCTCTCCCCAAAATAAATACTAAAAAAAGACTGCATGACTTATAAAACCTAAAGTACTTACATCTGTCCCTTTCATAAAAGGTTTGTGCACCTGTTTTAAAAATACCTAGGATTTGTTTTAACCAGATATGATAAGATATGCAAACATAGAAAAGAATTTCAGGAGGGAAATTTTTATACTCACAGTTCCCTAAAAGCAGGAAGCATGGCACACCATGGTCACATGAGGAAGCACCAAGTTTGGTCAGGAAGCAGAGGAGACAAAGAGAAAAAACATGGGCATGAGCCTTTACTGTGATTTCCTTGGAAAAGGCAAGGCAAGGTAAACAGATACAGGATTGGCAAGATTGAATAATTTCAGCAGGCTCTCTGGGGTTTTGAAGCTATCCCTGATTGTCTTGTACCTTGCCCTGGGATGCAGAGGAATAGTGCTTGCTGGAGTGGAAGAACCAGATAGAAGACGTGGTTCAGAGTATGGCCTCTGGATTGGTCAGTTTTCTAGGAAAGGCATGCTCCTTCCCTCTGAGTTATTTGCTCTCAGAATTGGCTAGTCCTGGTAGGGAAAGCCTCTCCCTGGTCAGGGATGCCCACATTCCAGAGCATCAGGAATACAGAAAATAAGGAAATGTAGTTAAAACACCCACCCTGGCCTAAATCACAGTTGTCTTTGTCAATAGTTGTAAAATTCTGTGCATTCTCTATGATTTTTTAATCTCTATATTTCTCTGGGGCATAACTTTGAACATGGTAATTCCTGTAACACAATTCATTTATACCCCCCTAAAAGAAAGATCACTGAGTTCATGTTTAAAGAATCAATGTGTATGTGCATGTGTATGTTTGTGTGTGATTATGTGCATTCATGGAGATGGTGATGGGGAAATGTTAGAATTAGGAGCATATTTCTCATTATATGAGCTTTAACATAATTTAATTTTAGTTCAAAAAGGATTTTTCTTTTTTTTAATTTTTTAATGTTTATTTTTGAGAGAGTGGGGGGGGAGGGACAGAAAGAGAGGGAGACACCGAATCCAAAGCAGGCTCCAGGCTCTGAACTGCCAGCACAGAGCCCAACGCGGGGCTCAAACCCACAAGCCATAAGATCATGACCTGAGCCAAAGTCAGATGCCTAACCAAGTGAGCCAACCAGGCACACACCCCTTTGGGGGCTTTTCTTTCAGACCTATTCTTTCAGGCTTTTTCTTTCAGACTCCAAATATTGATTTATTTTTTTAAATTTTGTTTAATGTTTATTTCTGAGACAGAGAGAGACAGAGCATGAATGAGGGAGGGGCAGAGAGATAGGGAGACACAGAATCTGAAGCAGGCTCCAGGCTCTGAGCTGTCAGCACAGAGCCCAACACAGGGCTCGAACTCACAGACCGTGAGATCATGACCTGAGCCGAAGTCGGTCGCTCAACCAACTGAGCCACCCCAAGACTCCAAATATTTAATATTTGGAACTGCTAAATAGCATCATACTATACTATAAATTGCAATGTTTCTCAGATCCTAATAGCATGTCATTAACTAGCAAATAGGTACTGAGTGATAAACCATGAAGGAGTATGGATAACCCTGCCCGGCAGATTCCTACTATTGAGAGCAGCATTGTGAGTCTGCCCAGTGGACCGTGAGGTCATGTAGCACCTCAGGTATTAAAGAACAACTGATTTCCATCTCCATCAGATCCTAGTAGATGGGGCAGTTCCTTCTTTCCCAGATAAGACATGGTAGATTGTAGCAAGAGACAAGACATCAGCCTGGCTTGCAAGACCTGGAAACATGGCAGAAAGATTTGGAGTCTACTCTGTTCTTGCTCTTCAGAATGTGGGCAGTGCAGGAAGCACTGGGGCCATCCCCCATGGTAGATAAGCCAGGCCCTATGTGCTCCATTTCTCTTCTTTCCCATGGCTGCTGTGGTTTAACTTCTCTTTGCCTTTCCTCAAAATAACTAGTCATCATGGTCTCAGAATCTAATTGAAGGTGTATCAAAATTACCCATTTTAAACTACTCTGTGGGACTCGCTATGCATTTTAATGCACAGATACTTGAGGCTTCTGAGAATTGACTTTAAATTTAAAACCAACCTACCCCAGGGTCAAAAGGCTCTTGTTTTCGGTTTGCTGTAGCAAAATTACTTTAATGACATTTCTGTCCACTGCTCTTGCCCATGGGAAACTAAGAAGCTCCCATTCGGGATGAAGGCACAGGTGTGGGTTTTCTGTGAGCACAGGCAGGAAGAGACATGCTTCAGAGCAACATCAGCATGAGCGCAGAGCCTGATCAGTGAGCAGGCTAATCTGAAATGAAGTGGGAGTCCTCATGACCTGAGTGGATATACTTTATGAATTTGCCACAGGGTTTAGACAATACTCATCCAAACAGCAGTTTGAATTTTGTTTTCCTGAGATGATTGAAAGAGGATTTCTGTCTTGCTAAAATAACTCTGTTATTACAGATATTGATTGTAAACAAGAAAACTTCTCCCTAACACCCTGTATTTAAGAATCCTTGTATCATGGTAAATGTTACTTATTAAGGACAGGGCTTAAAAAAACAAGGATGGGGGGAGCCTGGGTGGCTCAGCCGGTTAAGCATCTGGCTCTTGATTTCAGCTCAGGTCATGATCTCATGGTCATGAGATCAAACCCTGTGTCAGGCTCAGTGCTGAGCATGGAGCCTGCTTGAAATTCTCTTTCTCCCTCTCTCTCTCTCTCTCTGTCCCTCCCCACATGTTCTCGATCTCTTTCTCTGTAAAAACAAATAAATAAACATTAAAAAATAACAACAAGAGGGGCATCTGGGTGGCTCAGTCAGGTGAGGTTCCCGCTTCAGCTCAGGTTATGATCTAATGGTTCATGAGTTCAAGCCCCATGTCAGGCTCTGTGCTGACAGCTCAGAGCCTGGAGCCTGCTTCAAATTCTGTGTCTCCCTCTCTCTCTCCACCTCCCCCCACTCATGTTCTATCTCTCTTTCCCTCTCTCTCTCTCTCAAAAATAAACATTAAAAAATTTTAATTAAAAAAAAGCAAGAGTGAAGGGAAACAAAGACATCCACTTTTTTGCTGTGGCATTGAGATCACATGATTAACTTCTTAACAGAGTAACATCATGTCCATCAGAGGAATTCTACACGGTGCTTCTCACCCTTTTGTTGGAAAGCCCAGGCAGAATAAGACTAAAGTAGCCCAGTACTTTTTGAGTGCTGTGATGAAGAAAAACCAGACAGAAGAGAAGTAGATGTGATGGCTTCATATCTGTATGTGGAGCATTGTCATGCGAGATGCATTTATCAGAGTAACTTTAGTAAAGTAACCTCTCTTACCATCCAAGCCGTGGTGGGGAAAGCCTGAACCAATTGCTTCTTGCTTGAAGTATGTAAATGGATGAAACAAAGAGCAGTCTGGCTCATGTCCCTCAGAGCTAGCAGGGGACAACTCTGCTGACTGGAGTTAGATGTAACTTAAGACCCAAAAAGAAGCCTGGTGATCTTTAATGATGCTGATGCATACTTGTGTGGTAGACTCCCAGCTTGCCTCTTTCTGAATGGTCTTATGACTCAGAGTGAGTAAGTGCCATATGCCAGGTGGTGGTAATGTTAGCCCCAGCAGCAGGGAGGCCTGCGGGAAAAGAGTGACAGGTGTGTGGGTGAATGTGTGTGTGAGCGCCTGTGTGTGTGTGTGTGTGTGTGTGTGTGTAAGTGTGTGAGAAGATTTGTGCGTGCACGTGCGTGGACACGCATGCTCACTGAGCCACACAGCCACCCCACTCATTTCCTGTGGTTGTCTTTCCCACCCCCCCTGCAGAAAAGCGACTTTCTCGGGGAATTTCCCACGCCAGCTCCGCTATCGTCTCCCTGGCCAGGTCCCACGTGGCCAGTGAGTGCAACAATGAGCAGTTCCCCCTGGAGATGCCCATCTACACATTCCAGTTGCCGGATCTGAGTGTGTACAGTGAAGACTTCAGGAGTTTCATCGAACGGGACTTGATCGAGCAGGCGACCATGGTGGCTTTGGAGCAGGCAGGTGAGCTGCTGGCCCCAGCAGGCCCGTGTTCCTTGGGCTCGGGGAGCAAGAGAGGCTGGCCTAACTTAGATCAGTGAGGAAGGGACGCGTGTTGTCTGAGTCCGGTGTTTCCAACTCAGACTCTGGAAGCTTGCAGCAAACACCCTGCTCTGCAGATAAGGTCTGTTCCAACCCAGCCCTGACTGGCAGGGGCCATTGGCTGTTTGGTGCTGAGATCCCTTGAATTTTCCCTTTGTTCCCAGATCCAACCTGTCTAGGCCAGGCCCCTCTAAAGACACTCTCTGTGGCTTTGCCTGACTTTTCTCCTTTTTCCATACAACCCTCCTGTGGGTGTTGAACTTAAGGTAAGAAAGGCCATGGACTTTGGGGAAAATAGGAGACCCTGTCACTTCCTATGTACATGAGCAAGTTATGTAACCTCCCTGAGCCTCAGTTTTCCTGTCTGCAAAGACGAGAAGACAGGTAGCCGCCTGGTGGAGTTAAGTATTAAATGGCACGAGCAGAGTGTGTCTGTCATCTCCTGCCCTCCCAGCCTTGCTGGCCTCCAGGGTTGAGGAAACACAAAACCTGACTTCAGTCTTCTCCTTTTTCTTTGCATTTCCTCTGACATCCCAATGAAGAAGAGATTTGGGGAGCAAGCCAAACTTGTCTCCTTTGGAGTTCCTAAAGATAACATATTCGTTCAAAACAAGTGTCTAAAGCAGATGTAGGTTCTTCCTGAGACAGAGCAAATATCCTATCTTACTCATAACCGTTTTCATTATAAATCTTTGCAAAATCATATGTTCAGGGGCTTCTCAGATATACACGCAGAAGACTCTGTGCCCCTGCCCTTCTCAGGCCCAGCATACATCTGCCATGGGCACTGCCTCCCCACCAGCATGGGTTGACAGTGCACTTGGAGTGTACCCTCAGCTGGTTGGACTGGGGAGCAAGGACTTCTGACTCTGATTCCATTGTCAGCCAGCTATTCCCGGCTGCTGCAGAGTGGAGCCTCCACTTCCAAAGGCCTGGCACATGGAGGTGCTCCTGTGAGGCACATGCTAGGGAAGCAAGATGGGGAGCCTTTGGCTGAGAGTAGTGGATAGAGGGTGTGTTCAAGCCCTCAGCCAGTAAGGGCTTCTCTGTCAGAGAATCACACTTAGCATGTCACCAAGACAAAACTGAAAATGCCCAGGCCTTTGGAGTGTTGCAGAAGACTGAAGAGAAGGATCTATAGTTGGTATGATCTTGACATCGGCAGATGGACCAGTCATCAGCATTCCCTACCCATCCTGGTAGCTTCAGTATGGAATGTTGATGCAAGAATGAGCAAGGTGTTAAGAACACCAGCAAAGGATAGTGTCATGCTTGGAAATGGCACTACAGGGGCACTGCCACTCTTGGGCCTGGCAAAGAGGCAAATGATGAAAGGAGCTAATGGAGAAAGCTACTTACAAGAAGGTGTGGCTTCGAGGAGAGAAGATGATGGAAAAATAAATACTCTGACCACCTTCTTTGGCACAGGCTTTGACCAGTGCCTCTCATCAGCAAAAGGGCAGAGAGCAGAGAGCCCATTACAGGGCTCCAGGCAGGTTGCCCTGAGGGTGCAGAGTAGGGGGAGGATAAAGCTGCAGGGCAAATGGGAAACACCCAGAAAGTTGACAGTTGGGTATTTTCTGTCAGGTCCAAGCTTCAGTGTATACTTGGCTTCATCCCATTTCATGTAGAGCAATCCAGGAAATGTCCTCATCCACTTGGTCCAAGAAGAACATAAACAAAGGAATGGGTAGTGGTTAGTGGGGACTTCTTTGTGTTGGGCTGCCTGATGGTCAGCCTCAGCCCCAGGACTCAGGGGTCCTCACCCATGGCAGGCTTGGTTTTAGAACAGGGTCTGCACTTGCAGTAACAGTGTTGGATCCAGTGTTGGATCTGATGTTGTAACTACCAATGACTTGTTTCCTCAGCTGCTGCAAAGCTGTCAAAAGCAACCCACAGACTGACGCCCACAGCCCTGCTCTGTCTTACCTCAGGGTCATTGACTGATCCACAACCATAAAACAATTCGCCTGGGTTAGCAATAATCCTAAACCACTCACTATGGAGGCTGGCTATTTTAAAGCTGTTTCTGTGTGAATAATTCAGAAAAGATATTTTGAACAAAGGATTCACTATTCATACAGAAGGGGGAAGTTGGTGTAGGTTTAGAAAGAAAAGCGTTTCATGAGCTAATTTCTCTTGAATGCTGACATTAGGTCCTGTCAATGGCTAGTAGCACCGTTAATGGCAGCCACTTCCTTTGAAGGTAGAGTCCTGGTAAAGGGCACAGAGTCCCACTCTGGCACCACGATAGCACCCTTCTTTGACCCTGCCATGCTTAGCAAAATCTTTTACTTCTATGGAATGTCTTTTCTGTTATTTTTTCCATACACTGCCTGTTAATTTTTATCACCTACAGCTTACTTCCCGGATTAGTATTTTTAAAGAGTACTATTTTACTCCAACCAGCTCTAATACAGACAACCATACAGTCTTAGAAAGCACCTATTAAGAACCCAAACTTACTGACTGAAGATCCTGAATTCACCAACATTGTTTCTGCCATCAAAAGTAGCAAGAGTGGGCAGCAGGGATCCCCACTCAGCACTGGGGAAGCACCCCATCCATACTGCGGGAAGCGTTGGAGAGACTGGCCGGCCACCCCACACTTCAGGAGTGTGCTTCTAGAGCAGTGAGAGCCTGAATGCCAGGGCTCTGCCTGGTACATGGAAATGAGAAATCGGAAAATAATGTAGACATAAAGAATAAATGTGTTCATTTCCTCAGCATAGAACTGACCCCAGCCCGGGGCACCCGGGTGGCACAGTCAGTTGAGTGTCTGACTTCAGCTCAGGTCTGATTTCGCAGTTCATGAGTTCAAGCTCCACATCGGGCTCCGTGCTAACAGCTCAGAGCCTGGAGCCTGCTTTGGATTCTGTATCTCCCCCTCTTTCTGCCCCTCCCCTGCTCATGCACTGTCTCTCTCTCTCTCTCTCTCTCTCTCTCTCAAAATAAATAAACATTAAAAATTTTTTTTTTTAAAAAATGGGGGTACCTGAGTGGCTCAGCCAGTTAAGTGTCTGACTTTGGCTCAGGCCATAATCTCACAGTTCATGGGTTCAAGCTCTGCATTGGGTTCTAAGCTGACAGCTCAGAGCCTGGAGCCTGCTTCAGATTCTGTTGTCTCCCTCGCTCTCTGCCCCTCCCCCACTCATGCTTTGTCTCTCTCTGTCTCTCAAAAATGAGTAAACGTTAAATTTCTTTTTAAAAGAACTGACCCCACCCCACTATCCATATAAATTCTCTGGACTTTTTTCCTCAGCTCTCGAGAAGCACTGTAGACTAGATCATCCCTCAGGCCCTTTCTGCGCCCAGGTTATGGTCGGGACCCCAGCTGGTGTCAGGCAAGCCCTTCACAGTCCCCCACCACATCTAGGTGATGAGCATCGCCCACTGGGAGGTGTCCTTGTTCCCTCCCACCCATGCTGTGCCCTGTTGTTAACTATCAGGTGCCACCATTACTATCCATGGGGAAGACAGAGCTCTAATAAGAACAGTGATTTGAGAAAGCCACTCAGTATTGCCGGGTATAAAGTGTAAATTCCCCCTTCTAGTAATTTAGTGCTCAGGATAGCTGTGAGTAAGCTATTGATATACATGTGTGCACATATACTATATACATGGAGATTAATATAGGTGCCTGAAAATCCACTTGTTAGAGGCATAATTCTAGCTGTCTTGGGAAGGAAACATCAACTTTGTCACAGGGTCTCAGGGTGGGGGGCTTTCCCTGCCTTTGGGACTCTACAGGAACCCAGGGCTCATGTTGTCCAGAAAATCAGCAACAAAATGATCTTCACTCAGTTAGTTTTCACCTGGTCCATCACAGAGGCTAGGCTCTACCTTCAGTGCCTGGCAAGGCATGGGTCAGTCCATCTATTTGAGGGGCCTCTCTGCTGAGTGGGGTGCCAGTCTTCACCTCCCACAGAACCCACAGTGCCATTCTCCTGAGCCTTAAAACCTGGAGGGTAAACCTATTCCCACCCTGTGACAGTCTTTGGGGCATCAGAAGGACGAGGTCTTCAGTACATACAAGTGCTGACCCCCTGAGAGATGAAGGACAATGCCTTTCATTCTTTAGTGATTACCTGCCATGGAAAACGCAAGACACCATTAATTTCTCAATCAGATTATCTGCTTCATTTATGTGTAAGAAGACTCAGAGACCATAGGTCTCTAGATCTGAGGAGTAACCACTCATGCCTTGTCCAAAAGCCCACCACAGTGTGGGCGAGATGGTATGTGGTGCTTCTGTGATCTTGTGAACCCAAAGGGCATATTTGTGTAATATAGTCGTTACTGCGTACATGAAAAATTGAAATACAGATGCCAAAAAATATTTAGGGACACCTTTGAGTTGTGGCGTTGAGTCTTGTCTCCATGGGAAGGTAGTCATGTTGAAGCAAATCTGCCAGAGAAGTGGTAAGGTGTATGGATGGTTTTGAAGGTATCCAGTGTCAGCCCAACCTGGGCTGTCCCATGTCAGCTGGGAGAACTTGGCCAAGTTACCTGACCCTCTGGAGCCTCACTTTTTTCCATTTGTAGTCAGAGATGTGTGACAGCTGCCAAACCAAGACAAGGTCACCCAACACAACACTGTGCTCCCATGAAACAGCCTGTTCATTCCAGGTGCTGGGGTGAAATTCCTATACTCATAGAGATTAAATTCTAGTGGGAAAGAAAACCAATCAAAGGTAGAACATAAATGGGAAGTGAGGTGGTGAGCTGTGGAGAAAGTGAGAAGCAAGGTAGGGGATATAAGGTGAAGAGAGGGAGACCGAGGCAGGTCTCTTGAGGGCAGCAGGGGAGGGAGAGATGGAGACATGGGGCTCTGGCATTCCCGGCAGAGGGGGCTTGGCTTCAAAGTCTTGCACATGTAAGGAAGGCCAGGCATAGGGGCAGATGGAATGAGGGCTGGAGGA